CCCCAAAACCCCAAAACCCCAAAACCCCAAAACCCCTAATAAGCCCAGCTGCATTGGAATAATAAAAAGGATAAACCTAACATGAAAGTAATAGCGTTCCTGCTTTTATCGCTACTAGTCACTGTAAATGCAGTCACTAGTTACACACTTAATGGCGCAGATTGGACAGATGCACTCTGTCAGAACGGTAAGCAACTTGGTGACCCGATGCGGCTGTGCGAGATAGGAAGCGGGCTTTGGAATATACTAGATGGGATAGAGAATTTTGGATTTTTGTGTTTTGCATATTTTAAGCACTGTAGGGATTTTATAATGAGATCTAAAATTTGAGAACGTTCTTGTTTTTTTTGATAGCTTATAGATCTTCCCTGGTCATCGTTTTGAGTCAGGGTTGATATTTCGATAAATTTTCAGCAGTATGGTCACTTTAATTGTACCTTAGGAAGAGCTTCTGTCTGAATGTTGATAAAAGTTAACAATGACATTCGAAATTTATATTTTTCTTAGCTCCAATTAGTACTGGAGGACTCCTTCAGTTCTAAATTTTATACAGAGATTATAAATGTATCTAAAGCCCAAATATTTTTCAATGCTAGACAGCTTCTTTTTCAGGATTTAAAAAATATAATCAATGAGCAGGGTATCTTAAACAGCTTCTTTTAGTATTAGATGAGCAATAGAACTTAGGTCGAGCGAGCTTTGACTAAGATAAAGCTCTTAAAATAGGATCTGACTCAAAGTATCTAGAGCTAAGAGGTTTTGAGACACATCATTTTCTCATCTTTTCAAATAATTTTCGTTTAAAAATGGATACTTAATTTCTCTGAGACTGATTTTGAAAAGTTCTCACCCCTTGAAAAGGTTGAATTAGATGATATACTAGACTTTCATATGCTGTTCAAATTGAAGTCGTGGATCCATAATTTGCCAATAAATAAAAATTGTTCGATCACCTCCTTTCAAATATCTTAACTAAAATTTTATCGGATTCATGAACAATTATTACACTCAAAATGATAGTCCTATTAGCCATGAACTTCTAATGCCTAAATCAAAATGTTCTAATCACCAATAACCAAAAACCAGAGAAATCTTAGTTCAGAGATTAGCCTGCAACACTATATATGAAATTTTCAATTCCAAAGACCACTAAAACTCCAAAGCTTGCCTTCCAACCCCCCTGCCTATACCTCCGCTACAAGCCCCCTTCTTCACTTACTACTTTCCTCCAAAATCCCCTCCTTTCTCCAAGCTCACATCCCCTTCCTTCACCAAAAAATCCAATTTCTTCTAGAAATTTTCATTCTGATGTAAATTTTAAATTTCAATTAAAGATCTCTCTCCAAATTCAGGATTTTGCATCTAAGAAATTATCTGCAGCTAGATTCCCCCTGTCTGCAAGCTTGCTAATGGATGTTTATAGGTACAAGACAAAGCCCCATCAACATTGACACGAAGTATACGTAAGTCTGGGATTGGTTTAGTAAAGGACTTGTAGAGGAGGGATTAGACTGACTTAAGCTAGAAGACACAAGTCCAATTTTGATAAATGGAAAATTTGGGTGGAATGTTTGATAAGGTTTTAGGGCTCTAGGACTTTTTAGATGTTTTTTGGGGGAAAGTTGGAGAGTTTTAGTGACGAATTAGGATAAATGAGGATTTTATAGGAGTATTCTTACTGATAAGAGTGTATCAATTGATGGAATGAATGTTGCTACTGTTACATTGAGTTATGATGCCAGTCATTTGCAGATAACCGATGATTTCATTGCTACTGCTACTTTGAGATCAGATGAAGATGAGAGGGAGTATACATTTGTTAATACTCATTTCCATGCTCCATCTGAGCATACTGTTGATGGAGTCCAAGCTGATCTTGAATCTCACACAGTCTTTGCCAGACAAGGTAGAACTTATGCTGATTATCTTGTTTTGGGTGTAATGTGGGTTCATGATAATGATGCTAAAAATGATTCTTATTTGGCAGCTATCAATGCTGGTGGACTCACAACCACTCCATCTACACAAAGTATTTCAAATGTTCCTTTTAAAGACTTCTACGGGTGGGCAAGCCCAAAAGAAAAGTATACTTATATTGGATCTTTGACTACACCAAACTGCACTGAAAATGTTGAATGGTTTGTTGTAAAGGAAACGAGAAAGATTAACTCTGCTCAGCTTTCTGAGTACACCAGCAAGTGGGCAGGTAACAGCGGATTTGCTTCTGGTAAAGGAAACAACAGAATCTTGAGACCCCTTGGAGCTAGACAAGTTTATCTCACACACGGAGAAAAGAGTAAGAATTAAATCAACCTAATGGAGAGCTCTTGATTCAAAGGCTTGACCAATTTTCCTATAGTTTTCCTTAAGTCCAGTTAATAACCTTCTGTATAGTTGATAAATGGGAACTAGCATCGATCATCCTCGTTTGCTTGTTAGGTCTTCTTTCTGCTATCCTTTCAGGAATGATATTCTATCAATGCGTGTATAAGAAGAACAAAAACCAAAGTAATAAAGTAAGTCAAACCTAGAGAAAGATAATTTGTTCTGGAACGTTGCTTCAAGGGTTCTCCACCCCTCTACTAAGGGACTCGGACAAAACTATGCCTTAAGAACCCACTTTAAGATCTTCAAATTTTGTAGCCGACCTTATCCAAGATTTATTAATTTTGATAATAGGGATATGGAAGAAATTCAGAAGCTCAAGGCTTGCACAATGAAGGAGGACAAGCTAGTAACCCATGTGCAGAAGAAAACTAGTAGGAAGGTCAAGTAATTCAAAGGATTTGGCGACTTCGTGAGTCTCTAAACCTCATTTTTAATGCTTCCAATCAAAAATATTTATTATGGGGTTTTGGGGTTTTGGGGTTTTGGGGTTTTGGGGTTTTGGGG